AATAAAATCCAGAGCAGAGTCCCACTCTGGTGCCTCCCAGGAGGGTGTGATGCACTGGCCCTTGGTGACAAAAGGTGACTGGGTGATGGCCCCTTGAGTGTACCTGGGAATGAAGGTGCGCTTCATCCCAACAGCCTTCCAGGGTTTTTTGTGGTTTTCAGAGGTCAGGCCAGTCATCTCCGCCCGCTCCCCTGCCTGGCTGTGTGTTCCTGCTGCTCCCACCTCACCGGTCACATCCACTGAGCTCTGGCCAGGAAACCACCCGTGGTGCCCGTCATCTTCCCGTCCCTCCTTCACTCCTCGCTGTTTCCTTGCCTGACAGCGGCGCTGGCTCTGGCGAGGAGCTGGCAAAGTGTGAGCAGGGAGAGAAGCAGGAAGCTGGGACCTTGCTTGTCTCTGCAAGGTCTGCACAGTCTCTCTGGGGTGGGAGGTCAGCAGGTCGAGTTTGGGTTTTTTTGGTGGTGTTGTGGTTTTTTGGTTGGGTTTTTTTTTTTTTTTGAAGGTGCACAAATCCCAGCAAGAAGCAAGTACAGAGACCTCTGGAAGACTTCTATAAAACAGCAAATGTGTCTGTTCCCTCTTAGTCTCCTCCATCAGTTCAGGTTCTTGCTGGGCTTTTATCTCCTAGTTTTCAGAGGAAAACTTTCCTAGCTGCCAGCGGCTCTTACGTTTTCCTGATGATGTCAAGATAAGAAAGACATTTTTTTACAGCAATAACAATGACTCACTGGAACAACCTCCCCAGGGCAACGGGAGAGTCCTCATCACTGGAGGTTTTCAAGATACAGTTGGACAGGGTGTTAGATAGTCTCACCTTGGTTCTCTTCCTCACAAAAGGTTGGACCAGATGATCTTTTGAGGTTCCTTTCAACCTGGGCTGCTCTATGATTCTGTGATCTCCTGGTTATATTTGTTCAGCCTGGAAGTTCCCTTCAGTGTTTATTTTGAAGAATTTGAGAATAAAATCTTCTGTTCATCTGCAGGAGTGACCTGGTCATTGGGGTCTCTCCAGCATCATGCTGCTTCGTCTCCAGATGTGCATCAGCTTGTTGCCCATCTAACAGGGTGGTGAGATGATGGGCAACTCAGACATTGAAATTACTTGCCCTCAGCCCAGCTTTGTCTTCTTTCTGTTGACCTAATGTGAGAAGTCAGAAGCTGCTGTACTCAGAACGGGCAAAGTTGATTTTCCCAGAGGGAATTGTGATGAAGACTCTCCAGTGGAGCCATACAAGGCTGTAAGATGGAAAAACATGATACAGTTTGGGTTGAAAAACCTAAACCAGCAGCATGGCTGGTACCAGCTGGAATGGTGAGGGCTGCTTCTTGGGCATTAGCAGATTCTGGTAACAATAAGCAGACCTTTTTTTGAGAGACCACTACGGATATATTTTTCTTCTTGAAATAGCAGTTATGTAGCCTCCGAAAATCTCCATCAGTCTCTGTGGAGCTTGGCAGGCATCCAGCAGACAGCCTTCATTGCACAGGATGTGTTCATGCCTTCCCATCACCTTTAACCCCTTTGGGGCCCCTCTTCCCCATGCACACCCAGCCCCCTCCTTGCCACGCTGGCTCTCTGCCCGGCTGCCACTGCCAGTCCCTCCACCCCACATCTTCTCTAACCCTTGGGGTAAAATTCTAATTCTACTTCAGGCAGGCCCACAAAACCTGGGGCTGGCCTGGCCTTTCCAGGAGACTCTCCTGGGGGTTTCTTTTGGTTGTTTTTCCCCTTTCTTCACACCTTCAAGCAAGGACGTGTCATAGAATCACCATGGAATGGTTTGGGTTGGAAGGGACCTTTCAAGGCCACCCAGACCAACCCCCCTGCAGTGAGCAGGGACATCTTCAACCAGGTCAGGTTGCTCAGAGCCCCATCCAACCTGATCTTGAATGTTTCCAGGGATGGGGCTTCTACCACCTCTCTGGGCAACCTGTAGCATCGTAAATCCTCATCGTAAAAAATTTCTTCCTTATTTCTAGTCTGAATCTCCCTTTTTTTTTTTTAGAATCATAGGATGGTTAGGGTTGGAAGGGACCTTGAAGATAACTGTTACCCTTTGTCCTGATGCTACAGGCCCTGCTAAAAAAAAAAATCTGTCCCCATCTTTCTTATAAGCCCCCTTTGAGTATTGAAAGGCCTCAATGATGTCTCCCCTGAGCCTTCTTTTCTCCAGGCTGAACAGCCCCAACTCTCAGCCTGTCCTCACAGCAGAGGTGTCCCATCCCTCTGATCATTTTTGTGGCCTCCTCTGGACCCGCTCCAGCAGGTCCATGTCTTTCCTGTGCTGAGGACTCTGGAGCTGGTGCAGTACTGCAGGTGGGGTCCCATCCCCTCTTTGGGAGCTTCAACAACCCAGTTGCCCGTTGGTTTCAGTGGTGACAGGGCGCTGCTGAAGCCCCTTTGATACACATCAGGAGGTGCAACCAGCACTTTTTTTTCCTCTTTCTGCTGGCAGCGTTGCCGCGAGGATGTTGGTGTCACCGGTGCGGAGCCCGTCAGGTTCTGTGAAGAGGAGCTTCCTGTGGGGTCAGTGCGCTCCATTGTGCCGGCGTTTCCCCTGCAGCTGCAGCTCCCCTTCCTCCCTCCTGCAGCACCTAAATATAGCGGGAGGCATTGTGAGAGCACCGTGCTGGTGAGAAACCCCGGCCGGAGGGTCCCGGCGCTGCTGCTGGGGGGGTGCTTCCGTCACCGCCTCTCACCCAGTTGGCCCTTGCCTTGGCGCTGGGGTTGTTTGGGCGCTGGTGACTTTTGTTTGAAAGAAGGAAGAAACAGAAACCAAAGTTGACCCTTTCCCAAGTTTGACGTGTCCTGTACGGGGATATGAAACAAGTCAAATCCGTTATTTCATATCTGTTTGGGTTTTTTTAACCTGGCTTGACTCTGCTCTCAGTGCATCCCCTTTAGACTTTGCACCTTAATTATCAGAAGATTGTTTCAAAGCTACAAAGATAAGAAAAATGTTAAATGTGGCAGGCATGGACAAGCAGTTTGAATCTTGAGCTCTGTTTGTACTTGAGTGCTGTTCCTAAAGGTGGGGGGTCTGGGGGGGTGATGGACTGATTAATAACTATAAAAACATTTTGACTCGTAGCAAAAGAAACCATTTAATTTAATTAAGGGACGTGTCTCTTGAGTGTTAGCAAGATGCACTGTGTTGCTGTTACCCCTGTGCGTGTCGATCCTTTGTTCTGATTTATTTCTTCCTCCTCACTCAGTTCAAAATGGTGACTGCAGTCTTGCCTTATTTCTGATTATTTCTTTGATTATTTTTTGCTTTTGGATGGCAAGTAGGATTCACTTACCAAGTATTAGAACCGCAATACTTGAGAATATTAGCTAACCAAAAATGCACTAAATATATGGGATATTCTGGGGACATCTTATAGCAGCCTTCCAATACCTGAAGGGGGCCTACAAGAAAGCTGGGGAAGGACTTTTCATAAGGGTAGTTAATGACAGAACAAGGGGAAATGGGTTTAAGCTGAAAGAGGGGAGGTTTAGATGAGATATTAGGAAGAAGTTCTTCACTGTGAGGGTGGTCAGACACTGGAACAGGTTGCCCAAGGAAGTTGTGGCTGCTCCTCCCTGGAAGTGTTCTCGGCCAGGCTGGATGAGGCTTTGAGCAACCTGGTCTAGTGGAAGGTGTCCCTGCTGCTGGCAGGGGGGTTGGGACTGGGTGAGCTTTAAGGTCCCTTCCAACCCAAACCACTCTATGATTCTGTGCATCAGGAGAAAGCCATGGTTTTGGAAAAGGAAACAAATTGAACTGAGCTATGGTTAGTGAGACTATGGTGATTACTAGTGGCAGCAGACTGAGCCTTGAGCTAAGCTCTTATTTCCTGGATGAATAAACTTTAATTCCTCTGTTTTCTGAGCGCCCCCCAACCCCCAGTGCCTAGTTTTCAAGCTTTGAACTACTTATGGAGTAAGTTGACTGTGCAAATTTAATAAGTTGTAGTAAAAAAAGTCTTTGTAGTAGAACCTATTCCAAGCAAAAGCCAGATTATATTAAATTAGATGCTTAAGCAGCACTTTTCCCTTAGTTTTGCGACTCATCTGTCTTTAAAATGTTAGCTGGGTAAATAGTTATATGGTGTTTAATATAAATAAACCATACGCCTTATTGTTTATTTTAAAAGATATGCTAACTAATAATTTTCATCTTCTCTGCTTAAATATTTAAAACAGCACGTCTGCTATGGGAACTCCCGTGCTGCAGCTTTGAGGGTGCTGTAAAGCCCTTGTCTTGGCTGCTGCATCCTCTGCCCGTTACTGCTCGAGCTCTGTGTCTCCTCTGATTTGGGGGTTGATGGGGTTTTAAATGTTGGTGTTTGCAGCTTCAAACACTTTGAGATCCGACTCATGTATGTTGTGTTATTCTACCGTGTCTGCTGCCACCTCTACATGTATCTCCTAGGCTTTAATTCTGCCTAGCCACCCCTGACATGGTGGTTCCACCCACAGGTCAGACCATGGGGTCCTACACTCACTGCCCTCCCACCCGGTGAGATTAGGAGAGAAACACAACAAAGGGTTCATGGGTTGGGATGAGGACAGGGAGGGCTCACTCACCACTGATGGGCATGGGCAAAACAGACTCCACTTGGGGAAGAAAAATCAATTTAATTCAGTATGAATCATTCAGAGTAGAACAGTGAGACACAACAACCACATCTGACAGCACCTTCCCCCACCCCTCCCTTCTTCCTGGGCTCCCATCAGTTTGCTCCCCATTTCTCTCCCTTCTCCCCCAGGGCACAGGGGACAGGGAATGGGGGTTCAGTCAGTTCATCTCTGCTGCTTTTCCCAGTATTGAGATCCCTCCACAGGGTAAAAGAGTCTGGGAACAAAGTGTTCCAACCTGGGCTGTCCATGGGGTCACGGACCCCTTCAGGCACAGGTCCTGGCTCCAGCACAGGGACATCCACGGGCTGCTCGGATGCTGCCATACAAAGCTCTGCAGTAACGCCTGTGCCTCTCGCTCTCCCTTGCAGGAATCTACATCCTGATCGCGGTGGGAGCCGTCATGATGTTCGTGGGGTTCCTGGGATGCTACGGCGCTATTCAGGAGTCCCAGTGCCTCCTGGGAACGGTAAGAGGAGCACAGCTTTGGATGCTGCTTGTCACCGTGATGTCCCTGCTGTGCGGTGCGTGGCCATGCCTCCCTTGCTGGAGGCTTTTGCACCCAACGGGGCTGGGAGGACATGTGAGCGCGTAGGTGGGAACCAGCTGAGCTCTGCAAGGAGAAGGCAGCACGGCTTGGCCAAGGGCGTCTCTGCCCAGCCTGCCGGAGCTCCAGCAAACTCCCGCTCGTGCCTGGCTGCAGGGCAGAGGCAGAAGCCAGCAGCACAGCAGAAGAGCTGTGAACAGCAGGATTCTTGGAGATTCATTTTCTCTGTTTTGTGTGAAATCCCCTCATGCTTTTTTCCTTTACCCAGCACCCACTAAACTCTTTGTTACCCCATGTCCCCCACAGCTTCTCTTTTCACTCCATTTCAAGGCTACCTGTGGCAATTCCAGTTCTTTAAGGAATCATCTACTATTTTTATCTGTTTGGACAAGGAAACAGCAAAGAATTCCCACAATATCTTAGTGAGGACATCTAGGTACATCCTGGAAAATCCATTACTGAAGTGCTCCAGGCGTCCTTGATGTGAGGCAGCAGCTCAGGATTCCTGGCAGGGGATGATCTTCATTGTATAAACTGTAGCCACACCAAAAACCTTTGTCTTGGGGGTAAGGGAGACCCATTTGTTTAAAGCAAGTTCTTACATGTGGTTCAGATTTAAACTCAATGCAAGAAAAAAAAAGAAATTAAAAATGGGAAGAGTAAACCATAAAAATATATATAAATATATTTAAAAAGAAATATTTTTTTAAAAAGAGAGGACTTTCCAGCACTTAGCTTTGTTGAGCTGGAAGATTCTTGGTGGTGGTGTAGTGACCCATGGGTATGGATTCAACTGGGACAGAGGGAAATGGAGCTGCTTTCCCTCGCTCTCGCAGCTGGCTTCACCTCTAGTCACTTTTATTTCCCGGTAAGACAGGAGAGCTTCTCACCAGCTTTTATAAATCACTCTGGAACGTCGGTGGGTGAGAGCTGCTGGAGTTTGCCGGCATTATCAGTGCTGCTGAGAACAGGAGGAGCCGGCGCACAAATCCGACAGGAGTTGTTGTAGCGAGGTCTGGCGGCTTTGGATTATTTTTTTGTTGTTGTTGTTAACACAAGTGATTACAGAACGTGAATCACCCCTCACTCCCTCTTAAAGTTGGAAAGAGGATTAGAAGGGCAGATGGTACAACATACCTGAGGCCTGACAGGGAAACCAGCTGCTTGGCTGAAATTAGCAGCTCTGGCTGCTGTGCGCTGCCCGTGTTTGCTCGCACCTTGGCTTGCCAAGAGAAGCCTGGAGACACCTTGTGATGATGCTTTCTGCTGGCCACCAAGCTCCAAGGACATTTCCAAACAGCATCCTTGGGGTGTTGGAGGGAAGCAGCTGCTCTCCCCTCTCTGATGGAGGGACTATAGGTTTATTGCAAAAGGGGAAAGTAGCAGGAAGTTGTACCTCCAAATCTGGGCTGAACCAGCCACCCTTCACAGGAGGGTGACCACTGCAAGAGTGAGCCCTAGTGCTTAACTACAGAATTACAGTGGCATCATGCCCGTGATTTAGGGGGATGTGATTCCTTGGGGGGATGTGGGACCCAGTCCCCCAAAGATGTTCCTGGAGAATCAGGGGTAGATAGGTGTTTAGGTAGGAGTTGGTTGGTTGGGGACTGGATGTTGGAAGTCCTTTCCTGGTGTCAGGTCGCTAGTCCTGTTTCCATTTTTGCTCTTGCACATGAGAGCCAGGTCACAGCATCGTTCTGGAAACTCCTGTTTCCTCCGTTGTTGAAGAAAATGTCCTGAATGTGTCTGGAGCAGAGACTGCCCAGCAGCCAGGGGCTGTTGTCCCACCCCATGCTGTGATTTTGTCTTCCCCTGACTGCATTCACCTCTTTTCTTTCTTTACTTCTATGGCAACTCTCCCGGTTTGAGGCCTTTCCCAGAAGAAGTCACTGAGGGTGATGTTGTCACAGAGGTGACATTGGCTGTGTGTGGAGCATGCCTGTCCCTACCTTCTCCCCTGACTCTGATGGATGAGCTCTACAGCTTCCCACTCTCCATCTAACAGACCAACCGTCACAATGTGTTCCCGGGATGTGAACAAAAAGGCGGAGGGAGGGAGGCTTTGGGGGGTGGCAGGGAGGAGTGCTGGGACTGCACAAACAGGGTGGGACTGTGGGAAAACATCAGCCTTGGGATTTATGCAAAAAACTGCAGAGGCCTTGCAGGGCTGTGGATGCCAAGAGAGCTGAGCCATAAATCACACCCTGACACCCCGCAGCTCCGCAGCAGCTGAAATGTGCTTTTAACCCTCCACTGGCAACTCCCATCCTCGGAGGGGCTGTGGCAGAGCAAGAAGCTTGTCTGGATGGTCCTGCAGGTGTGTGAAGAGGAGCAGTGTGTCTTGTGGAGCAAAGGGCGTCCTCCTCTCTGCTGGTCCCTGTGTGGGAAAGGCTCTGCTGATCCTCATGCAGCCATCCCAGTGGGAAGTCTGGATGTGGGGTGGCATCCGATGAGTTATAGGAAAATATGTTTGGGTTAAGAGTGTGTATGAGAGATGAAGTGGTTTGAAGTCAAGTGTTGCCTTGTTCTGATCAACTCTGGCGGTAGAAGTGCCGCTCCACACCTCTGCCCACCTAACTGCTGCTTTTGCCTGTGGCCAGATACGTTAAGTGTCCCTCTCTTGATTTGTCTTTGCAGTTCTTCACTTGCCTGGTGATCCTGTTTGCCTGTGAAGTTGCGGCTGGAATTTGGGGATTTGTCAACAAAGACCAAGTAAGATAACTCTGAAACCTTTTGTTTGTGGGTCTGGGAGGCTGGGGTAGAACTACAGCAGATCCCAGCATGAGATGTTTGCTCGCAAGCTGCTCCCAGACTGAGTCACTGGGGCTTGGATTAGCGGTGTGATCCGGGCAGGTCACCTAACTCCTCTTGGCCGGGCTGATGAACATTAAATGTGAGCACTTGATGGTAGCAGCTGCCCCTTACGGGATAGAGTGCAATGTCTGGAATAAAAATAGCCCTGTCTCACTTGGGTCCCCTCCTTGCTGCCACGCTGTCACTCACAGTGTGAGCTGATGATGGATGAAGTCGTGAAGGGAAACCATCTGCCCATCCGAGGTGCCAAACAGCAACGAACAAACCCAACCGTGTGGCCCCAAAGGGAGGGGACACTGTCCAGGGAGAGCCCGTGTCTGTGTTAACGGGATTGCTTGATGCTTCCTGCTCTCTGCCCGTGTCATATAACCCAGTTCGGGCTGTTCCTGTGCCAGGGCTGAGCTTGCTGCTGATCAACGTGTTGTGTGTGCCTGTGGGGTGGTGGAATCCACGTGTCTGTCCCAGGCACCTTGCTAGGGACTGCTGGGGTGAGGTCCTCTGTCCTGCTTTTTAGCTGAAATAGAGCTGGTTTTTCTTTTTTGGCTGGAGAGGATTAGATAAAGGGTAGGACTGAAAATTGCAGCTGCTCACCTTCCCTTCACTACGGTCACCGTGGTTGGTCTCAAAGCACAAAGCTCTCCATGCACAGGAGCCATGGCCATGCTGCAGGCAGCAGCAGGTTGGGTGTTGATCCCTCAGCCACCGAGGGTTTGGAGGAGAGAAGGGGACTGCTTGTGCTTAAAGCCAAGGTTAGACTCTCCAGTGGAGTAGGAAATGTGTTTACTAAGAGACATTGGTAGGTGGTGGCCTGCTCAGCTTTCACATGCCTGTAAGGCCACAGATGACCAGCTCAGCAGTGAATGGGAACACCCTTGTAGTCATTCACCGTGTGACTTCACCGGAATAAACTCTTCCGTGGCCAAATGCGTTATCCTCCAGGCTGGGTGCTGTTTCCTCGCAGCTTTGGCAAGGTAATTAACCATCACAGAGGGGCTGTGCTGCCTGCAGATGTTAGTTGGTGAGTCCTGAAGAGTCTAAAGATGTGACTGAACCAACACTGCAAAAAGTGAAGCCAGTTTGAATGTAACTTGTCAGAAATCTGTCAGGCAGGAAGGACAGTGAGCTGCCAAACACGAAGCTTCTGGTTTTAACATTATGGTGAGCAGTGACTGGATCACAGGCAAAGGTTTGGAAGACACTGTGGTGTGTTTCAGAAAAAATAAATTCCAGAGGTAAAGGAGCCAGAGTCTTGGGAAGTTTAGGGTAGTAAAGGACAAGGAAACAGCGTAGGTGATGTTAGGTCGCCAAGCAGAAGAGACTATGTGATAAGAGAGAGCACGTGGTAAGCCTGAGTAAGGAGGAGCAACGTGGCTGTTGCTCTCCATGCACTTGGCCATCAGAGCATAAAGCATAAAGTTTAGGATTTGCCAACCCAAGAGCAATGACCTCAGCCACTTAAAATTAACTTTGCAGTTTAAAATGGACAGTGGCAGCCTGTTGGCCTGAGCTGCCTTCACAGCCTTGGTGATGGATGGGCTGTTGGGGAGTCCCCGCTCACAGGGCAGGCACTCACTTCTCCCTGCCTCACTCGCGGCATCTCGGCAGTGCCACGGGCTGGCAGGACAGTGCTGGATGGTCCCAGCCACCGAGAGCTGCTCCCAGCAGGGACTCTGTTCCACCTGGGTTTGCAGCCCCATGGGGGGACAGTCATCTCCTGTCACACAGGCACCGGATGCTCTTCCCCAAAGCTAGAGGCAGGCTCTCCCTCAGCCTGCCTTCTTGGAGATGCTGTAGATACAGGATGAGAAAGCAAGGAGTAGGATTATTATTTTATTTTTCTCCAGGTACCAGAATGGTTTGATCAGAGAACATCACCTTCCAAAGCAAACTTTTTTGAGCAGTAACGGAGAAATTCTGGGATAATTGATTGAAATCAGGCTCCTTCCCACTGCAGTCTCTTTTTTCGTGTGCTAATCCAGCCTGTGCTGCCAAGAGCAGATGTTCTGGAAAGTGTTTTCCCTTTCATACTTGCTCATTTTTTTTATTTTGCTTCTGTTGTATGTCCTCCTTTCATCTGTCTCTCCCAAATTATTGGAGAGTGTTGGAGGAGAAGCCCCAAGGGCAGTGGAGTGCCCCAAGCCCTGGGACAGGCTGCCCAGGGAGGTTGTGGAGTCTCCTTCTCTGGAGACATTCAAAACCCGCCTGGACGCCTTCCTGTGTGATCTCATTTAGGTTCCTGCTCTGGCAGGGGGGTTGGACTGGATGATCTTTCAAGGTCCCTTCAAATCCCCAACATTCTGTGATTCTCTGATTTCCTGAAAATGAGGGTTTTTTTGCATTGTGGAGCAGACCCCAGGGGTGGCTGCAGGTTCACATCCCAGCTAGCAGGGCTGGAGTAGGGATGAGACTTCTCCTATAACCATGTACAGGGTGGGGGTGCCCAGGTCCAGGTAGGGACTCAGCCAAAGGTTGATGTGCATCTAAGCTTCCTGAGCCCAAATGAGCTGCCTCACTAGGCTGTAGTGTGCAATCCCTCCCAAATTCCTGCCCTCCCCTTGGAGCCAGTGAGCCGGGGTGCCCGTACCTACCGTGGCCTTGCTTGCACACCCCACCTCCTCCCGAGTTCCCAAGCCTGTCCTGCCTCTGCAGCCTTGGTGGGAAACGTGGTGCCTGCTTGCTTCATCTCCATGTGTCGGGTGGTTCAGAACAAGCTGTTTCTGCATTCCTTAGCCCAGCAGCAAATCCACGGGGGCTGAAGGCTGTCTCAGGTCTTGTGGTTCACCCTCCAGGCCTTGGCTGTCTTTGCCTGCTCAGGGTTGCTCACAGAGCACTGGGATAGCGTTGGCTGGAACCTGGTGGATGAGGTGGATCAGATTTGCTGATCTTAACACACTGCAGCTGGAGGGACTTGAGCCCGGTGAAAGAAAGGCTTTTTTTCACATACCTATGCAAATAAACGGGGTCCAAATCTATTTAAAAAATGTTAATCTACCTGCGAGTGCCACTAGAAGGGACCTGTCCCTGGAGCACCTCTCCTATGAAGACAGGCTGAGAGAGTTGGGGCTGTTCAGCCTGGAGAAGAGAAGGCTCTGGGGAGATCTTATAGTGGCCTCCCAGTACCTGAAGGGGCTACAAGAAACCTGGGGAGGGACTTTTCATAAGGGCAGTTAATGACAGAACAAGGGGAAATGGGTTTAAACTGAAAGAGGGGAGGTTTAGATGAGATATTAGGAAGAAATTCTTCACTGTGAGGGTGGTCAGACACTGGAACAGGTTGCCCAAGGAATGGAAGTTGTAGATGCCCCATCCCTGGAAGTGTTGAAGGCCAGGCTGGATGAGGCTTTGAGCAACCTGGTCTAGTGGAAGGTGTCCCTGCTGATGGCAGGGGGGTTGGAACTGGATGAGCTTTAAGGTCCCTTCCAACCCAAACCATTCTGTGATTCTATGATCTGCTGGATGGGTTTCTTTCTTCTCCTCTGGCTGAAAGGGAGTTTCTCCTCTGTCTTTCCTAGATAGCCAAAGATGTGAAGCAGTTCTACGATCAAGCGTTCCAACAAGCGCTCATGGCAGAATCGGAGACCAACAACGGGAAAGCTGTAGTGAAGACCTTTCATGAAACGGTAAGACGTCGTTGGTCTTGCTCCATGCTCTGCTTGGGCTACGTGCTCTTGGCCAAAGCAACTGCTGCATGCTGCAAATTACACCCAATGAACTTCTGTGTGGGGTTTGTCAGTGGTGAGGAGCAACTGTCCCTGCCCATGGACTGATCCTCCCCGCCGAGGCAGGGGCAGCGAGTTGAGCTGCAGGTCCTTGGGCAGGGAATGAAGGCAACGCTGGATTGTTTTTGGTCCTTAGGAGGGAACTGGATCAAGCACTGGGATTTTGCTGCTGGCTTTCCAAGCTCTATGTAGTAATCTCCTCTCCAGAGGAGTTTCTTGCAGCCAGAGGAAATGAGAATGTGGGAGGAAGGAGAATTAAAAATGGGGGTCAGGAAAACGAATGGGAAAAGCAGAGTCTAAAGCAGATGCTGCTGCAGGTCTTTGCCTGTCAAATCTGCTGTTCTTATGTGTCAAGAAACAGAGTTGTGCTGTCTTCAATATTCTGTCCTTCATGCTGTGCTGGCCCGAGCTCTAATTAAGTTGTTTTTCATTTACCTCAGCACCTCTGATTTAAGTAAAATTCAATGGAAGAAAAATGTTTCTCTGAG